ATTAGTTTTCCTGTTATGCTTTGCAATTAGCTGTGTGATATTAGGCAAGATTCTTAAAACTTCCTTCAGCCTCAGTTTTCTAATCTATGACTGCTCTGTGCAGCGTCACCTCCAGTCCCATGCCCTCCCCATTTTTCTTTAACGTGTCTACCTCCTGTATACATGGGAGAGACCCCGGAAAACTGAGTAACTCACCAACATAACAAACCACCTTAAATATCTTCAGTTGAAGACAAAAGAAGATGTTGGGGTGAGGGAGTCCGTTATAGGTGGTTACCAGGAAAAGCACAGTAAACGAGAGTAAGATTGTTATGCAGATTTAAGGTATTATCTTATGCATTGATAAGAGTTCTTGGAGATAAAGTCTTCTCTCTCTTCCCACACAGCCCTAGGAGACACCCTTACAAATAGAGGTTTCCTTTACAAATGTAAATGTCTTTTACAAAGGGTAACTTCTAACTTCTACTTATTTTTGGAGCATCTCCCTGTTCTGCTCTTTCTTAAAATTAACAATCCTAAAATATTCCTGTGCCAAAGAGGCATATTTTAGGATGACAAATTCTGTTCTCCTACAATTCTTGGGCTATAAATCTGTAAATCATGTTACTGTACTGAATAGGCAGTTGTAACACAATGGTATTTGTGTAACGCTTTGCGCTATAGTGTTACTAGGTAATCGGTCATTTTCAGCTCTACTATAATCTTATGGGGCCAGCATAAGTATATGCGGCCCCTCATTGACCAAAACGTTGTTATGTGAGACATGACTGTGTTAAGCAATGATGGGAAGTAATGAAGCCTTAGCTATTATAACATATAGTGTGGGCAGGTAAGGAGAGTGGCTTGGAAGAAACTTATCCTTTATTTTATGTAGCTGTGTGTTGGAATTTTTTAAAAGCTGAATGTACTTTAAAATAAAATTAAAGGTGTATTTTAAAATTCTGAAACTTCTCTCTTGCACCTCTAAAATTAGTGTAGGAAAATTTCCTGCATCATACTATTACAATTATCCTGGTGGAAATTAATGCATTTACTAGTCGCTGAGGATTTAGCAACTAAATGAGACATTGCAGCTTTTAGGTTAAATATCAGTGCTTTTTATATGTAAGTAAATATACATTATACAATATGTAATGTAGAGTGTAACTTGCTATGATATAACACAAGTATGTGGGTTTGGCTAGATTTCTTAGAACTTTTGAGATTTTATGAGATAGTCTTACAATACTTTTTATTGTACATGCGTTACATGTGCCTTACATTATTTTCTCATTTAATGATCACAATGATACTATTATTTCTCACTTTGTGAAAAACTGAAGCTCAGAGAAATTAATTCGGCCAAGGACGTGTAGCTCATTAATTGGCAGAGTTGGATGAAAACTCAGTTCTGTTAGGTATTGCTGCCTCTCGATTTGTGTTATATCTGTTTCACTGTTATAGTGCTGGAATCGTTAGGCCCATTTTCCTCCTTAAAATTTTTTGGAATACGTTGTCAAATATGAATAAATGTGCACATATCAACACAAAAAATACATGGTGCTTTGAAATAGATGTAGAGGGATGCATAGGGATGCTGTGGGAGTGAAGGAGATGCAGTAGAGCCTAATGACTGAGCATCATGCCAGTGGTTATGCCAGTTAATGTAATGTTTTATAAGTGTATTCAAATTATTGTAGACTCAGCTTTTACAGCTCTAATTGCCGGTGATAGCTCCTAACTTATAAGGTTGTTCTGAGAGTTTAATTGAATCAGTGACTGCGTGAAAGATCCTTAGTGTAGTGCCTGATACATAATAAACTATCCTAGAGAATATTTCTCTTGGGCTGAGTCTCCCAAAGGAGCAAAACGTAGTCCCAGGAAAGAAGTGAGGAAAGGGTAATTTAAGCAGTGTGGTTTTTGAAGAGGGCAGCATGACATCTCTGTTAAAATAAAGGCCAAGTGCTTTAGGGGACCATAGCCAAATGAAGATAATGAGGTATGAAGTACTCTGGTAAGCTGAGAGTGGAGTACTTTGTCCTGACTTGTGAGTATAATCGACAGGTTTAAGTGAGAGGAAAGATTTAATCAGTTTAAAAAGTGAAGGCTTGAAGGATAAGTTAAATTATATCATGAATCAATAGCCAAGCATAAAACTTGGGATAGCCTGTAGAACAAAGATTAAGTCAAGGGACACTATTCTACATTGAAAGATATTTATGAGAACTAATTAAATGCAATGTGCAGGCCATATTTGGATCCATGTTTAAATCTAAAATAGAAACTCCTCACTTGCCAAGAATAGTGGGCATATATTAGCAGGCATTTATATGATATCCTTATAAAAAAAGGTTATAATACTCATTTTATTTAAAAAAATTTTTTTTTGTAATCCTCACTTTAAAAGTCAAAGAAAGAGGACTTAAAGTTACATGTGTTTTCCTAAAAAGACAATTAAGTAGCTCAACCAGGATTCAAACCTAGTGTCCTTTTAATGAAGCTAGCCCTGACGTTGTAAAACATTGCCTCCAATAGCATGTCATCATAATAGCTTTTCTTGTGTAGGCCCAAGACACTGAGTGAAGGCTTGAGTTTGGGAATAATCTAAAAATGGAGACTTTTTAGAACTACTGTATTTTTCCTGTTCTGCTGGTAGGAAGAGAAAGTCTGTATAGTACAAGAACTTGCTAGGTAACCAAGACAAAAGCCAATTCCAAACATCAAAACCATGCCCAAGTTATTCTCATTGTCTTTGGGTTATTAGGAAAGAGAAAGGATGAGGAAACACTGAGAAAGTATTCAGTATAAGGAGAAGGGAGAGAATACTGTTCGATGGTTGGGTGGCTCACAAGCTTGGAGGAATTCGATTGGGTTAAAATTGAGTGTAGGTGGGTATCTTGAAAACAAGGCAAGAAATTTCCTCCTTAACTTTTTATATTGAAATTTTCAAACCTACAGAAAAGTTGAATGTATGTACAATAAATATAGATATATGTATATACCTTTTACCTAGATTTATCAGTTGTTAACCTTTTGATGTATAGTTGCTTTGTCTTTAATACAATAAGTCCTCACTCAACGTCGTTGATAGGTTTTACAACTTTAAGCAAATTGGTGTATAACAAAACCAGTTTTACATAGGTTAATGAATATAAACGAGTTAAGTTCCTATGGCATCTCATCAACATTATCATGATACAACATTGAACAAAACAACAAAACAATGTTATTCAAAGACCAGCTATATATACATTGTTAAATTATTCAACCTTCAGAAAGTAAATTGCATCATCACGATGGTTCCCCCATTTATTTCAGTATATATTTACTAAGAACAAGGACATTTTACTTCTTGTCTATGATAGATAAGTTAATGTATGTGATAACTTAAACGTAATTTAATAGTGATTTCACTGTTTTATGATATCCGTACTAAAATTCTCACATTTGTCTCCAAATGTTAATTTAGTTGTTTAATTTTTAATTTTAAGATCCCCGATTCAATCAGGGATCTCACATTTCATTAGTCATATTTCTTTAGTCTTAAACGTAGAAGAACTTTTTTATGACATTTACATTTTTTGAAGAACGTATACCAATTGTCTTAACTAGTTTTCTCATGATTAGATTGAAATGGAATATTTTTGGCAAGAATAATTCAAAGGCAATGTTGTATGCTTAATTTAATGTCTTTTCTCACTCCTGTGAAGGATTTCATGTCTTGGACCTAAGGCTACTTTCTTGAACAAGAAAGCCGTTAAGCTTGATTTCACATCACTGAGTGGGAAGAGTAGCAGCCCAACTACTGTGAACTCATTTGCAGTAGAGTGTAGCCTGTGGTATATTCTCGGCAACAGACTCTGGAACTAAGGGGTAGAGGAATAAACAAGTTTGTAGAAGCTGCCATCCACATGCCAAGCCAGTGAAACTGGAAGCTGGCCAGTTTGTGAGATCTGAGGAAGGATAGCCACCGCTGACTGGGACATGAGTAAGAGCCAGGCCTTACTAAAGGACAAATTACCCACCACCACCACCTTTGTTCACGGCTCAATGGAGTTTGTGACAGTGCTGGCTGACTTTCAAGCAGGGGCCAGCTGTCCCATCTGTTTGGACTACTTAAAAGACCCAGTGACCATTAACTGTGGGCATAATTTCTGTCTCTCCTGCATCGGTATGTCCTGGAAGGATCTAACTGATATTTTCCCCTGCTCTTTTTGCCGATTTTGCTGTCTAGAAAGGAAGTTTGCACGTAATCCTCAGCTGGGCAATTTGATCGAAAATGCTAAGATACTCCAGATAAGAAGCAAGAGGAAGAGACAAGAAAAGCTTGTGTGTGAAAAGGACAATCAGGTTTTGACCTTTTTCTGCCAAAAGGACTTAGAGGTTTTATGTCCTCAGTGCAGTTTCTCCACTGATCATCGGAATCATTACGTTTGGCCCATACAGAAGGCTGTCTCCTGTCACAGGGAAAGATTGGAGTATTGCATTGAGCCATGGAAGGAGAGAGTGGAACAATTTGAGAAAATGATAATTATGCAAACCAGAAAATCATTGGAACTGGAGAAGAAGGTAGAATACAGGAGAGAAGAAATAAAATCTGAATTTGCGCAAATTATGTTGTTTCTTCAAAATGAGCAAGAGAGTGTTCTTCGGCAATTACAAAATGAAGACATAGATATTTTAACAAAACTAAATGAAAACCGAACAGAATTTTTATATCATGTTTCTACATTAAAATGTCTATTAAAGGAGATATATATTAAAGGAGAGCAAATATATGAAGTCAGAACTGGAACTCTTCACAGGTGTTAAAAGTAAATACCATAAATATCAAACCTTAAAGGCCCCTGAACCTTTTTCCTTCCATTTAAAAGAATGTGGTTAACATGTTCCTCCACAATATTCTGATCTAAACAAAATTATCAAGCAATTTAAAGTTGATGTGATTTTAGATCCTGAAACAGCACATAGTAAACTTATTGTTTCAGATGATAGAAAAACTGCGATGTGGAAATAGAATGCAAAACTTACCTCACAACCCAAGAAGATTTTATCTCTGCCCAGCTGTTCTGGGTTCTGAGGGATATAATTCTGGCAGGCAGTATTGGAAGGTAGAAATGGAAGACAAGCCTGAATGGGTCTTGGGTGTCTGTAAAGACTCCATTCTCAGAAGAAGAAAGTGTCATAATCCATCAGTTCTATTTCAGGACGAATTATGGTGTATTTGGCGACGTGGTCAGAGTAATTACATTGCATTGGGTCCTAAAAAAATTGATCTTCTGCCAAAAATAATACCTAATAAGATTGGCATTTTTTTAGACTGAATTGGGTGAGTTTTCTTTTTACGATATGAGTGATAAATCTCTTCTCTATATTTTTAACGATTGTTTTATAGGAGCACTTTGGCCTTATTTTGATACTGGAACTGATTCAAAACCTCTTAAAATCTGTACAGTAACAGATTCTGAATGATGACCTATTTTAAGACTCTTGTTTTTCTTTTCCGTTCATGGACAAAACTAAGCTAGAGAACCTAAGTCTCAATAATTCTGTATTTTTTTTTTCTCTTTAGGCAACCAGAATGGTTTTTATATCAGTTCCAGCAACTTCTTAAAAAATGTGGTTATGATTCTAGTTTATAGATAAATTATGGGAACCAATCGGAAAATGATTTAGAAATTCTAAGATAGAATACTTATGTAACATATTACTTTAGCAGTCCAATAATTGTTGATAAAAGTCCAATAGCTGTTTTCTGTATTAACTGCCTTTTCCCCTTAAAAAAAAAAAAAAAAAAAAGACTTTATTAAAGGCACTCCAGGACCACCTGTTCTGTAAAGATAGTCACTTTGAAATTCCATCTGTTTACCTCTAATTCTCTGTAATATGTTTTATTTTCATTGTGTCTTTGTGAATCTAGACTTAGTATAATGGGAAGTGAGGTAGTGCCCTACTATATTACAGACATCATATACTGATGTTGATAATTTTTCCTCTGTTCCTATTTGGACAATGTACCTCTAGCTCTGTTCATCTGCCATCCCTCACCTCATTTGGAAACTGATCTCTTCTCATATTCCCTGTCGATTTAGTTCTGTTTTCCTCCTTAGGCTTTCTCTGTTCAGGAAACCGCATCTTTCGGCAGATCATAAATTAGTAAAATTTAGAAGAAACATCAACAAAAACAACTGCCGGGCTTTTGGTTGGGATTGTGTTGAATCTTTAGATCAATTTGGGGGAAAATGACGTGTAGACAATACTGAGGCCTATAACCCACGAACTCATTTATTTGGGTCTAACTTCTCTCTGCAATATTTTGTAGTTTTCATTATACATGATTTTAACATCTTTTGTCAGAGTTATCCCTAAATAGAGTCCATTCATTGAATTTTCTGTAGAGATGTTTATGCTATTTGTGAATAGACATTTTTACTTTTTCCTTTACAATCTATGTCCTTTTTCTTTTCCTGCCTGTTTACACTGACTAGAACTTCTAGCGCAATGTTGATTCTTATTTTATGATTGGCTTTAACCCTCATTTTACTGCTCATATTGACTCAATTTCTATACTTTTTTTCCTATTGTTATTTTTATTAATTTTGATAGAACCCAGTAATTTCTGTTTATACTATCAATTTGATATTACCTAACCATTTCCCCGCTGGTAGATACTGATTTAGGTCATGTCTGACTTTTGCAAATAATGTACAATAAATACATATTTATACTTTTAACAAAATATTTAGTATAAGCATAGAGCATAATGAGGATGAAAACACGCATGTTATCTGTGACCTAATTTAACAGAACATTAACATCACCTTTGAATTTTCTCTGTGCCCCTTCTCAACCCCAGCCTGTTCCCTGCCTGGTCCTATCTAGTTCTCTCCACTATTCTCCACTGTTTTTCTAACTTTTTACCATGTATGTTTGTATCCCTAAATAATAATATGTTCCATGTTTTTGAATTTTACATAAAGTTGATAATTATTCTGTCTTGTATTTTTTCATTCAACATTATGTTTATGAAATTAATCATGCTTTTGCTTCACTTTGTTTTCATTCTACTTTGATGGATACCCAGTTTGAAATTTTCACGAACCGCTGCTATGAAAATTATACATTTGGTTTCTTTGCAGATGAATTGCTGGACCTTCATCTTTATTAGATAATGCAAATTTTTTTCCAAAGTGTGCCAATTTACACACCTACTCATAGTGTATAAATGTTCTCATCGTTCTACTCTAACAGTACTTGATTTTTAAAAATTCTTTACCTATTTGCAAGGCGTTAAATGTTATCCCTGATTTTAATTATTTCTATGATTTCTAATAGAGTATGTTTTCATAAATTTAACAATCATTCCTGTTTCTCTTCTATAAAATACCTGCTCTTATTTTTTTTCTTTTTTTCTTTTTTTTTCTATTAGTCTCTTTGTCTCACTGATTTATAAGAGCTCTTTTCTGCATTCTAGTTCTGTAGAAGTTATAGTCACTACAGATACCTTCAAGCTTATCTCACTCTTATGGTGTCTTGTACAGAGTCCTTAAGTGTTATGTAGTTGATTTTATCAGTCTTTAGAGGTTTGGATTCTTTTTAAAGAAATCCTACCTTACACCATTAAAATATATGTACTTCCAAATGTTTTAAACATTAAAATATATGTACTTCCAAATGTTTTAAACATTTACTTAGAGTCTACTTAGAGTTGATTCTGTGTTTGAGAATAGAATGGGGGTTGCCTTAGTGGTCACAACACCATTTATTGAGTGGTCCATCATTTCCTCAACAAATTTGCAATGCCACCTGTAGCTGATATCTGATCTCTTCTACTGGTCTTTTGGTCTATCATTGGGCAAATACCATAGTGAAATATTGTAGCTTTCTCAGACTTGGTATCTATCTGGTGACAATTTTCATCTTCTCTTCAGGGTTACCTTGGCAACTCTTGGCCTCTTCCATGTAAATTTTAGAATCAGCTTGCCAAATTAAACATAACCACAAAGATTTTCTTTGAAATTATATTGAAGCTTTAAATCAAATTGGAGAAAATTGACACCTTTAATGAGTTGACCAATCCATGAACATAATAATATGCCTTTACATCTATTTAAGTCTCTTTTAATAACTATGTAATATTCACCAGTTGGCTGCCTTAAGTACTATAGCTACACTTTCTAACTCAACATGACTTCCATAGGGCACACTTGGCATCAAGATTACTCAGACGGATGTTGAAAGATAAGCAGCTTGCCAGTAGGTAGTTTCTAACGTTTTCGCGGGAATCCCTACTGTAGTCCACATACTTAAGACATCCAGGAGTACTTCTATTGGGTTCCCTATGAGATGGCTCAGGTAAGAGTAAAAGATATTGAGCAGATGAGAGACCTGAACTGACTTAGCTACACGTTCCAGGAGATCACGAAATCTTGTAACTTTCCTGACGAGAGGTCTCCATAGGCTGAAAGGGACCTGATGGAAATTACACTGAAGAGTTAATAAGTGATCTCTGGAGGAAGTACATATACAAGATAACAAAAAAGTTGTGGAGTTTAAATTGGGTAGATTTTGGAACTAGTTTCCTTTTTAAAATAGGAAAAAAAATCTACCTCATAGGGTTGATTAAAGACTGCTGCTAATTGCCACTTTCAACACCAAGACTTCAGGCCTAATCTCCCCTTTATCAATTCAGCTAGCATTCTGTAGTTTTAGTTTGATTTCACTCGAATTTTAAAATCTAGTTTTAATGTTTCAATTATTCATCTTCATTGTTTATAAGATTTATTAGAATTACTAACCACTGTTTCTCAGATCCATCCATTTTCAACTCTTTGTTCTTTGGGTATGTAGTTTTAATAACAAGCTAATAGTGAAACTTCTGGTTTTTTCAGCTTGAGATATTACCATTCGATGTCCTGCTTTGGAAGATTAGCATTTAGAACAGTATTGACTTAACAGAATTCTTCACTTTTGTATAGAATGTTTACTGATATTTATGTCATTTTGTCTGCCATTTACTTATTACATGATGATTGCATTTTGTTTTTCTATAACCTTTCTTGTAGTTAATAGTTCTTAAATTTCTCATTTGCTTTGTTTTCCATGTCCTTATACTTAATTCATCCTCAGACTCCCTGCAGTGGCCTAAATCTCTCAATCTAAACACATTTAGCTTTCTACCACTTTGATTTTGCAGACTACACTCAAGGAGTTGTCTGATCTTCGATGTAAGCAGATTGTTCACTAAGCCAGCTGCTCAGATATCATCTTGGGGATACCCTTGGCATCTCTTGAGTTTTTCCTGTTTCTGTATGTTTTTCCATTTGAAGGTTGGTGTCTTGTTGGAGAAAATCTTTTAGTAGCTATCTAATCAGCATGCATGGGAACCATTTTTTGAGAACTTCATGTCTGAAAATGACTTCAGGCTATCCTGATAACTAAAAGTTCTTTTGGGTGTAGAATTCTAATTTTTTTTTTTTTAAGAGAATGTTTATGAGTTTACTTAAGCCAAACTGACAACGCACACCAGGAGCAAGATCTTAAATGCTCCAGAGAATGGCAGTTTTGCCTAGAATTCTAATTTTGAAGTAATCTATCCTTATGTATTTTCAGCATTTTTATTGTGAAATATAGTTCTGCTGTCTGAACTGTGTTTTAAAACACATCAGCATAGACATTGTGCTATAAGCACAACTTTTAATACTGTATACGGAGTTTCATCAGTTGCCCTAATCAGGAATTCACATCTAGGCATGGTCAGCTAGCTGGCTTTCTAATGGAAAAACTCCAGCTCCAGGTGTGCAATTGCTTCAGTTATCTTAATCACCCATAAATTCTGAGGCTATAATTAAAATAATGGATTATAAGGAATGAGATGGCATTGATGAAATTAATGATATTGGATATACAGGGATTGACTGAAGTATCTGGGTCACGCCACAGTCTTGCATGTATAGGACAATAAAGTCTAGGGACACCTGTGATCGGCACCTCATCAAACATGAGCCTCAAACTCCAAAAAAGTCTGTCCACCATTACTTTTGAGGATACTGGTAGTCTTGTGACAATTGTTAGATGAATCTTGCTTTTATTGTTTGCCTTCAAATCAACCTTTTGCAAGATCAAAGCACTAAAAGAACAGAATGCTGGGAACACTGAGTTTACTAACAACTATGAATGTATAGTGACTGCCTAAGTATATTGACTTTAAAAATATCCACATATGGGGCAGAATTTTGACTGATACTTTTATTATTACCTAGTAGTAGTTATTAATCTTTACACACCTATAACTTGACAGGTAATCTATTGAGAAGAGCAATAATTATGCAAAAACACATTGGCTTAGGTCCTTTCATAACACGTGATGAATAACCTGTGTAAATAATATAGAGACATTCCTTTATATGTTTAAAGGAAAAGAATACCATAATCAAGTGGCTACCATTCAACTTAAGAGATATACCTGTAAC